CGATGGTTTCACCACTTTCAATGCCTCGGGAGCCTGGTAACAAGAACCAGAAGTTGTAGTTGAAGTAACTGTTGTCGCGGCCTCTGATGGTGCACTGCCTTGCTTACTTTGTTGTGGTTTCTCGGAGGCCATGTGATTGGAGTGCAACGTAGGGGATGCTCCCGCTATATTAGCAAGACGTCCAAGTCCAAAGTCAGAGATTTTGGGTTCCATGTCGTGCCCAAGCAATATATTAGATGGTTTCAGATCACCATGAACATATTTCTTGGGACTATACTCATGTAAATAAACCAACCCTTTAGCAGTTCCCTTCATTATTTTCAGGCGAATCGACCACGAAAGAGGTGTAAATGACACCATTCCAGGTTTTCCTAAGGGTTGAGACAAGCCAAAAACCCATAATTAACAATTAAATATTCATGAGAAGTTGGAGAAAAAAACGATAAACAAGAAAGCAATTGTCAACATATGACGCTTACCATGAATTGCAGTGGCAAGGTTTCCATTTGGAATGAAGTCATATATCAGTAGCTTCTCATCCACAGACCAATAATAGGCACGAAGCGTCACAATATTTTGATGTCTCAGTTTTCCAATTGCTTCCACCTCTGTTTGGAATTCCTTAAATCTTTGGGAACCGCCCTCACCTAGTCTCCTCACAGCCAAGTTAAGCCCGTCTTCAAGCACAACTTTGTACACAATGCCAATACCACTTTTACCAAGGACAAAGGCGGATGCCTTGAGAAGTTCGTCAAGATCAAACGCCACTTGATTATCTAGTGCCACTAAATCATATTGCTCAATATTCTCCGATAACGTCTCTGACTCATCCTTCCTAAAACATAAACACTCTTTTCTTCCTTTCCCTCCCTTCTGGAAACCAAAGCCAGATTCATCTTTTTTCCTTCCACAGGCACAGATTCTCGAATAACAATACGAGAATAGCAAACCAATAACACAAATTCCAACCACATCCCCAACAATTATCGCAATTACAGCACCTCTACTCAAACCTTTGGTATTCCCATCATTTCCAGCACCATCTAAGGGAGAATTATTAGGCAAGAAAGGTTCCGATTCCGGTGAACTTGCCTCACTTTGTGCCGAACACGGGTTCTTCAATGGAGGTCCACAAAGCCCAAGATTACCAATAAAAGCAGTAGGTCCTCTGTTAATTAAAGCACCATTTTGTGGAATTGGACCGCTCAAATTGTTATAAGTCAAATCAATATACACCTTCTCAGGTAGATTACCAAGACTCGCCGGAATCGAACCGCTAAACATATTATGAGACAAATCAACAGTCCCTTGCAAATTAGACAAATTTCCTAAGTCACTTGGAATTGGACCATTAAATTTATTAAAACCAAGATCAAGTTTTTCCAGTGCAGACAAGTTACCCCCAAACCCCTCAGGTAAAAAACCAGTAAAATTATTTCGACTAAGATCAAGAACCTTCAACCGTTTACACTGAAGCAAACTCAAAGGAACAGACCCATTCAAGAAATTCTGTGACAAATCCAAAGTTTGAAGATAATTTAGCCTCCCAACTTCAAAAGGTATAACCCCAGAGAACGAATTCCCATAAAGAACCAAACTTTGCAAACCTTGAACCTCAAAAAGCTCAACAGGCAAACTACCAGAAAACAAATTACTCCTTAAATTAACATGTCTAAGCTCAGATAAAGATCCAAGAGTAGAAGAAACAAAACCAGTGAGTTTCTTTTTAGGAATACTAACAGATACAACTTTAAAATCTTTGCATGTAATACCATTCCATGAACAAGGAGTTTCATCAGAATAGTTCCAATTATTTAATGAACCTTCAGGATCTTGTCCTATACCTTTCTTGAATGACCAAAGTGCTATTCCTTCATTATTCAAAGAACTCACTAAAACACAAGAATTGGAAAGAACCAAGAAAATGTACAAATATAAAGCTAGCATTTTTAGCTCAAGAAAATGGAAAAAATTGGTCTCAAAGAGCTTACCTTTATACACCAGAAAACCAAGTTATGAGCTTTAGAGAAAGAAAGGGAGAGTGTGAAAGGGTTGATAGTGAGGACAGTGGAAAGAAGAAAAAAGGGGGTACTGTGTGTGTGTATATTGGAGAAAGGTAAAGTGGGGTTTGAGCTAATAAGTGGAAGAAAGACGTTGGGAAAATAGATTAATGTATTTTTATGTACTTTTTATTTGGGGGGTTTTCATCCGTTATCCGTTATCCGTTATTCAGTACCCGTATTTGAACACAACTATATCCAGATTCGAGTCACTTAAGGTCTCATTCATAAAGAAATACTCCCTAACAAGTATTTTTTCATACCCAAACTCAATCAGAAACTTTTGATTAAGGGAAGAGCACATCCATTGCATCAAATACTTTGGTGGCTATTTTCTTATTACTTAAGGAAAAACAAACAGAAGAAAGAACGAAAAAGAAGCTTTAATGTAGTAACACTGTATGTTTCAGTGGAGTGGGGTAAGGATATATGTGGGACAATTTTTATATTTCTCGTTTTATCGTGAGGATTGTTTTTTTTTTGGGGGGGGGGGGGGACTATAAGCCAATATGAAAAACAAAATAGGAACAGTTGAAAAAAAAGAGTAAAAACTAAAAAAATGTTATAAAATAAAAAATGTTATAAAATAAAGACCGTAAAGTAAAGACAGGTATAGAGAAACTGATATATTATTCAAACTTCAAATTTATGTACATAATGAACTAAAAACTCCTCTATTTATAGAAAAAAGAAAGCTATTGTGTAAGTTGCTACTGCAAACTGCTGTGTAAGCTGTTATTGCAAGTTGTTGTGTAAGCTGCTACTGCAAGATGTTGTGTAAGCTGCTTGTAAGTTGCTTATAAGCTGTTACTGTACCAGATATAAATAATCTTCTACCGGGGGTAATGTTTATCCATAACGGAGTACCAAAATGATAAGTTTCTTCAAGAAGCTTATTTCCAATAGAGTACTAAATAGATAAACATATTTACGGCGGGGTCTCATATGGATAAATTTCTCCAGCAAGCTTATTTACAACAGAGTAGTAAATGAACATCCATAATATAATATATTTATAACACTCCCCCTTGGATGTTCATTAAAAGATAATGTGCCTCATTAAAACCTTATTAGGAAAAACTCCGTGGGAAAAACAATCCTAGTGAAGGAAAAAGAGTACGCATATTTAGTAATACGCATTGCTAACTGCCTTATTAAAAACCTTATAAGGAAAACCCCATGGAAAAAATCTTAGTAAGAAAAAAAAGAGTACATCGCATATTTTACTCCCCCTCGTGAAAACCTTGTTTCAAATATTTGAGTCCCCGCATTCCAATCTTGTATACCATCTTCGTAAAAGTTGAAGTTGGCAAAGATTTAGTAAATAAATCTGTCGGATTGTCACTTGAATGGATTTGTTGCACATCAACGTCACCATTCTTCAGAAGATCGTGTGTGTAGAATAATTTTGGTGAAATGTACTTTGTTCTATCTCCTTTTATAAATCCTCCCTTCAATTGGGCTATGCATGTAGTATTGTCTTCGTATAAAATTGTAGATCTTTTATCACATTCCAAATCACATTTTTCTTGAATAAAATGAATCACTGATCTCAACTATACGCATTCCCTACTTGCTTCATGAATAGGTATTATCTCAGCATGATTTGAAGAAGTAGCAACAATAGATTGCTTTGTGGAGCGCCATGATATGACAGTACCTCCACATGTATTTTACGTACCCGATTTGAGATCGAGCTTTATGGAGATTGGATAAATAACATGCATCTGCATAACCAATAAGATCTGCACTACCTTTGTTAGCATAAAACAAACTCATATCAAAAGTTTCCTTTAAATAACGCAAAATACGCTTAATCTCATTCCAATGTCTTTTTGTAGGAGAAAAGCTATATCTTACTAGTAAATTAACAGAAAATGCTATGCCAGGCCTTGTATCATTAGCAAGATACATAAGTGCACCAATTGCACTGAGATATGGTGTTTCAGGACCAAGGAGTTCCTCTTCCTCTTCTAGAGGTCAGAATGGGTCCTTATTCACTTCAAGTGATCGAACAACCATTGGTGTACTCAATGGGTGTGCTTTGTCCATGTAAAAGTGTTTTAAAACCCTTTCTGCATATGCAGATTGATGGATAAAGATCACGTCTGCTAAATGTTTAATTTGCAGACCAAGACAAAGTTTTGTCTTTCCAAGATCTTTCATCTCAAATTCTTTCTTAAGATATTCAATTTCCTTTTGGAGCTCTTCTGGAGTTCCAACAAGATTTATGTCATCAACATAAACAATAAGTATAACAAATTCGGATGCCATTTTTTTTATAAAAATATATGGACAAATAACATCATTTATGTAACCCTCTTTCAGTATATATTCACTGAAGCGATTATACCACATGCGCCCAGATTGCTTTAAACCGTACAAAGATCTTTATAATTTGATTGAGTATATTTTTCGAGATTTTGAATATGCTTCAAGCATTTTAAATCCTTCGAAGATTTTCATGTAAATTTCATTATCAAGTGACCCGTACAGATAAGCTGTAACCACATCCATTAGATGTATTTCAAACCTTTCATGTAAGGCTAAACTGATGAGATATCGAAATGGTATGGCATCCATAACGGGTGAATATGTTTCTTTATAATCGACTCCAGGTCATTGTGAGAATCCTTGTGCGACAAGGCGAGCCTTGTATCTTTCAACTTCATTTTTGTCATTCCTTTTTCACACAAAATCCCATTTATGACCAACTGTTTTTATACCAGCAGGTGTTTGGACTACTGGTCCAAAGACCTCTCTTTTAGCAAGTGCATCAATTTTGATTGAATTGCCTCTTGCCATTTTGGCCAATCAGATCTTTGTCGACATTCTTCGACAGATCAAGGTTCAAAATCCTCACTATCTTCCATAATGTTAAGTGCAACATTATATACAAAAATATTACCCACCACTATTTCAGATCGATTTTAATTAATCCCATCACCAGCTTAATAAAAGTTCCTCGCTCACTTGAGTTTTAGGTTCATTGATTTCTTCAGGAATTTCAGAACTAATCAGATCTTGGGTCTCTTCAGGAAATCCCTTCATAGTATCGTTATCATTTGTCGATTTTCTTTTTCTAGGATTTCGATCCTTAGAACCCGAAGGCCTACCACGCTTCAGGCATGCTTTAGATTCACTAGCTCTCATGCTAGTACATGGTCCTGCTGGGACATCAATTCGGATAGGCACATTCTCTGCAGGGATATGTGACTTAGTTATCCTATTCAAATCAGTAAATGCGTCTGGCATTTGATTTACTGTATTTTATAAATGGATGGTCTTCTGGACCTCCTGATTTCATATAGGGGTACGTGGATCAAAATGAGATAACGATGAAACTTTCCACACAATTTCTCTTTTGATTTTCTTTATCTCTCCCCCTAATTGTGGGAAATTTGTTTATCAAACTGACAATCTGCAAATCAAGCAGTAAATAAATCTCCCGTCAATGGTTCAAGATAGCGAATAATAGAGGTTGATTCAAACCCAACATATATTCCTAACCTTCTATGTGGACCCATTTTACTGCATTATGGTGGTGCTACTGGCACATATACAGCACATCCAAAAATTCGTAGATGGGCAATATCTGGTTCATGACTAAAAACTAATTGTGACGGATAATATTATTATAATGTGTCGGTCTGAGACGGATAAGTGATGCTGCATGCAAGATAGCATGGCCCCAAACAGTAGTGGACAATTTTGTTTTCATAAGTAGTGGTCTTGCTATTAATTGCAGGCATTTAATAAATGACTATGCAAGGCCATTTTGAGTATGAATATAAACTACGGGATGTTTAACTTTTGTCTCAACTGATAGACAATAATCATCAAAAACTTGAGATGAGAATTCTCCAGCATTATCAAGGCGAATAGCCTTTATGGGATAATTTGGGAATTGTGCCCTTAATCGAATTATTTGGACTAATAGCTTTGCAAACGTCATGTTACGAGATGATAGTAGGCACATATGAGACCAACTTGAAGATGCATCTATTAGGACCATAAAATATCTAAATAACCTACTTGGTGGGTGAATAGGTCCACATATATCCCCATGTATACGTTCTAAAAAGGCAGAGGATTCAATACCAACCTTCATTGGTGATGGTCTAGTGACCATTTTGCCTTGATAACAAGCATCACAAGAAAATTCATTATTTGTAAGAATCTTCAGGTTCTTTAATAGATGCCCACTCAAATTTTCAGTAATTCGTCTCGTCATTATTGATCAAGGATGGCCCAGACGGTCATGCCAAAGCAAGAAAATATTTAAATCAGTAAACTTTTGGTTTACGATAGAGTGTGCTTCAATTGTACCAATCTTTGAATAATATAAGCCAGAAGATAAAGTTGGTTACTTTTCTACAATGCACTTCTCGTCAGAAATATTCTTTGTAATACAAAGATATTCCATATTCATTTCATCTATCGTCTCAATATGATATCCATTTCGGCGGATATCCATAAAACTCAACATGTTTCTTCAGGACTTGGAGGAGAATAATGCATTGTCTATTATAAACATCATTCCCTTAGACAGAAATATAGTGGCTCTTCCAGAGCCTTCAATTAAACTTATATTATCGAAAATTGTTGAAACATTTGCTTTTTCCTTATGCAAATAAGAAAAGTATTTCTGATCTTTGAATAAGGCATGAGTTGTTCCACTATCAATTACACACATATCTTCATGATTGATCTTTGATCCAAACATAATTTGAGGATTATCCATATTCTTCAAAATGACATAAACAAAATAAATATGATAGTAAACATCATTATCAAAGCATAACTTTTATTTATGTACAATAATTACATAACCATACTATCTACTACAAACAATAAAAATTAAAATATTTACATCTCTACAGATTCATCACCGATCACATGACTTGTTTCTTCTTCTGGGAGTGCAAAGTAATCAGCTACATCCAAATGCATGAAGTCTAAATTATCTTTAGAAATAAAATTAGCTTCAGTATTTTTCTCTGTCTTCTTCAGGGAGGCTTGATAAAGCTCAACCAGGTGCTTTGGCGTACGTCAGACACGTGACCAGTGCCCTTTTCCT